GGGATCGTGGATGCGCACTACTGAAGAGTCCTATATCAGAATGGAACGGCCGTCTTTCACTTCTTCCAGGTTTTTAATGACTCACATTTCAGTAATAAACGATAATCCCTATAAATCTTTAATGAAAAATCTTATTGTTAAATTATAACTATTTATAAAACTTATTCATAAAAAATAACTCATATTGCTTCTTTTCCCGAATTTTCCCTCTCCATTACATTTAAGGTTCAACAATCGAATTGTTACTATCAACTTTTAGATAAAACACCAAATATCCCAGTAAATTATCGTACAGAAGATGGTGTAGTTTATTTAACACCAAATTGGACAAGAAATCCAAATAATAATTATAATACTACTACTACCAGTACTATTACACATCAACGTCCATTATTAAGTGCACATCTTCAAACAGCTACTATCAACAATAGTTCAACAATACAACAATATATTCAATCCCATGAATCTGGTCAATTGTATTATTTATTTTTCCGTGTATCTTGTTATGAAGATGATTTTAGACGATCTCCGTCAGCGTCAACAGCAGCAGAAGCCATGGAATCGATGTCATCGATAAATCTATCCACAGGACAGCAACAATCAGCAAATATGCCAACAATGGGCAATTCATCTTATCCAACTTCATCATTCACTAATAATAATAATAATAATGGTGATCAAAATCAAACATGGTTGTCGATGAATCCGACATTAATCGATGCGAATAATAATAATATTAATAATAATCATCGAAAGTATAAACTAGTATTTCAACATTCATTTTATGTTTACATTTCAATAGCAAAATATCCATTTTAAAGTGAATACTACTCACAATACTACTCACACTACCACTAACTACTACTACTCCGACTTCTACTACTACTGCTGCGACTACTACTACTCCGACTTCTACTACTACTGGTACTACTCCGATTACTAGTGCTACTAATCCGACTGCTACTACTACTCACACTACCGCTGCTACTGCTATGACTCCTACTACTGCTACTACCACTACTACTACTCCGAGTGCTACTACTACTCACGCTACTTACTACTACTACTCCTACTACCACTCACATAACTTGCTACTACTGCTTTGACTTATACTACTACTACTCCGACTACTACTATCACTCCAACTACTACCACTACTTAGACTACTACTATTACTAGTAATAATACTGTTCTTCCATTTTTTTTTCAAACAAACTTACTCAACCACATTTTTTTCTCCAAAATTTTTCTGTATGAATAAAGTATGCAAAAACACAAGTCGTGTTTTTTTTCTAATATTAAAAAAATCTTTATTTTATTTTCTTTTTGTGTTCGTTTGTCAACTCACATTCACTGTGTTTTAAACAAAAAAAAAATTTCACTTTAATTTGTTTTACTCTTTTATTATGAGGATGTACTATGAACTTGTAAGGGAAACACAGTGTGATCAATTTTATTTTGGCGGGGAAACAAATACACAGGAAATGGAGTTTATTTAAACAAAACTATGCATATTGATCAACGATATAATTAGAACAAATCAATTGAGATGAAAACTTGGTTTTCTTACAAAACAGAAGAAACAGTTCAAATGTTTTCTTTTTTTAGGATAAAATTCAATGAATTTTATGATAATTTTTTTCTCTAATAACCGGTTCATTTGAAATTGTTCGCTACCTGCGTGTGTGTGTGCTTGTGCATGGGCGTTGTTCAAACATAAAAATGCATTTTATTAGTATGTTGTCAGCAATATATGTTATTCTGTTTGGAAAAAATATATATCTATCTGATGATTAATATGTGTATTCATCTTTGATTTTGATAGTTTTGGTTTATTGATTGAAAACCGTTTTTAGGGGTACAGGATGTGGTTTCATTTAACCTTCTCTCTTCGATTTCAATAATTCATGCTAAGCTGAACGGTGTTCTGAAGCGATGTGGGTAACGCAATCGTTGACACCGACATTCAGTCCAAGCGTTAACTCTGAAATATTATGTAGTAATTAATAACGAAAGCATTTTAACAGAAAGTTCAAAATAGTTCCAGCTATGAGCAAACAATAAAAATGTCATTGAGATGATGGAGAAAATCTGTAGCTCCTCGGGTGGATGATTGTGATGAAGTTTCTTTCTCTGATCTGTGCAGCTTCCATTGTTCTTCTTCTGAACAACATCGTTATCAGCACAAATTTCAGGTAGACGAAGTGAAGTGAAGTATTCGAATTTCTCCATGTTTGAACCGTATCTTGTTTTGTTAAGATCGATTTTGATTGGTTGTTATTGATCTTAATAGAACAAGCTACAAGGCCTACGTGAAGAAATTCGAATACTTCACTTCTAGATGAATCTTGTGCTGATGATGTTGTAGTTCAAAAGAAGAACAATCAAAGCTCGAAAGCTCGGAGAACGATAATGCACCTCAAAACTGTCACTAAAATAAAGACTGACTAAAAGAAAATATATTCATCTAACGAAACTCAACAGCAATTACATACAGTTTTATGGCTTAGGCGAACTCTCTGTCTCTCTCTTGTGCGACACCAATAATAAGAAACCGAATACAGATTCAGTTGGATGATTTTATTGTATGCAATCATTCTCGCAGGCAGACATGAGAATAAAATGTGTGATGGCGGTGTACAAGCAAAGCGAATTCGAGCAGAGCAGGCAAGTCGAAGTGAAAACAAACTAGACACTGAATTCGTTTGTGAAATCTGAATGGTTATTTCTTTTTTTGCATTACAGGGGTTGTGAAGATTGTTAGGTTACACATTTTTGAAACCATGAATCGATCAATGGTAGACCACCATTAGAAACCTGGAAGCACTGGAACACGGCCGTTTCGTCCTAGTATGGGACTCCTCAGTGAATTTGATCAAGTTAGGCACTAACACCATTAGATACCGGCTCAGTGGTCTAACGGTTAGTGCGTTCATGCAAAATGCCGACGGCCCTGAGTTCGAATCCTGTGGGGCGCAGGATTCGTGGATGCGCACTGCTGATGAGTCCCATACCAGGACGAAACGGCCGTCTAGTGCTTCCAGGTTCCTAATGTTGGTATAACCTTAATCGATTCATGGTTTCAAAAATGTGTAGTTTCTTCTTTTGTAATATTCATTATACCTTATGCTAAATAAGCATTGTGTATTTTTTTCATACTTACTTACACCTGTTACCCTCAGTGGAGAGCATTGGCCACCTACCAGCGAATTATTTTTATCTGGTTAACGTTTTTTTACCGAGATAATTTTCTATGCAATGAATGGGTTGGCTAATAATTCCATGCACAATCTTCCTTCTTTATCCGGAGTTGGGATCATCACCAGCCTTAGAAAGACTCTAGTCAAATACTTTGCAGTTTTTCCCAATAATTTCCCACCGTGCTAATAGAATGTAGCAACTTGAAATGATGTATAAGAATGGTCTTTCATTGCAACTAACACATTGACTCACTGCTTTATTAAAAATGACAATTTCTTAGAATTTTATTCATAACTCTTACAGGAACATGCATAGTTTGATTTTTGTAAATTTAAGTTATCAATTATTTGAGGATTTATGAAAAATTAAAGATATTTTTTAGTGATGAAGCTTAACTTCCATGGCTTTTCTTAGTCAATTCATATTATTCTCATGTTTATAAGCTAGTAGGATAGCGTCTGGTGTTCAACAAGGATTTCGGGTTATTCTTTCAGTTATCTAGTGCCGCTTTATCTTAAATTCCAAATTTGTAATGCTCTGATAAATTTCCAAACTATCTTTCAAATGTTTAAAAAAAACAAACCTCCAAAACTCTGCCCGAAAATATTGTAACAGTGCTCACAAGTGACTAGCTTCGTGAGCGAATTCTCGGAGTTCAAGTTGAAAAGACCTGATCAATGGTGTTCAACCCCGTCGGGTGTAGGCAGCAACTATCAAAGACAAATGGGTGAGTTCGCGCAAAATCCCTAGATCAATCAGAGTTAGACATTAACACCGTTAGATGCCGGCCCAGTGGTTCGATGGTTAGGCATTGGCACACAATACCGAAGGTCCCGGGTCCGAATCCTACGAGTTGCAGGAGTCGTGGATGCGCACTGCCACTGATGAGTAGTCCCATACCAGGACGAAACGGCCGTGTTTCAGTGCTTCCAGGTTTCTTCTAATGGTGGTCTAACATTGATTGATTGATTGATGATTTCAAATGTGCAAAATGAAACACAAACCTCCAAAACTCTGCCTGAAAAAAATTACACTTTTGAAATAAAAGAAAGACAGATTGTATATAAACTAGAAATGAGTGGACTAAGTAGATTAAGAAATAAGAATCAAAGTATTTGAAATATATGATTAATGATTACGACAACAAAAAGAACCAATCTTACATAATAAATTCACAAAAATTAACGTAATCAAGGTGAAATAAGATTGAGGACGGTGTTTTTCGTTTTGTTTTGGATACATAAATTTCGTTGAAATCATTTTTGAAACATCACATCGTGAACAATGTGGAACAATTTTGAATTTCATGAATTTACTGATTATTTTAAAAGATTTGGAGACTTCAACGTCATGAGTAGTACTATTGAGCAGATGACGAGCTTTTGCACTGGTTGTTGTATGCTTCGTCTGAACTTTACTGGAATGAGTAGTACTTAGTTGTTGAAGAAAAAAACATCTATTCACTTTCTCTCGATCTATGTTCTTTAAGAAGTACATATAAACTGATAAACACAACTGTACGAAGTATACAAATTAACCCTCTATTGGCAAGGGTGGATTTACTTCGGTTTTCACGGGAACCAAGGAGACTAACCACGTGTTAACATCTCAACGTGAACATTTTGACTCAGTTCTGTAGTGCAACCACACAGTTACCTGACCATTCACACCATTTATATACACTAGTACATATTTAGTGGAGAATTGTTAATATCGGTTATTAATTAACTAATTTGTCCAAAGGCTGGGAAAAAACTTTGGCGCTGGGCTTGAACTATTAATAGACACGATGAGTTTTACCAACTACTTACCTACTTAGTTTCGCCTGTTACCCCAACTGGAGCATCGACCGCTGACTTGATCTGTCCTGGGCCTTCTAACTAACTAATGTACAAATTATCTTGGCTACGGTTTCAAGGTACAGGAGTCATCATTACTGACGAGTCTCATACCAGGACGAAGCGGCCACCTAGTTGTTTCAGGTTTCCAACTGACTGTCCAGAATAGATTCGTTCATAATTGCAACTAATAATTAATCTTGATGGTACTTTCCCTGGCCTCGCCGGCGTAGGTATTGTATTAAGTCGCTTATGCGCTGTCCGACTAAACAGGACAGTTAAGACTCGGCGAAATAGGGAAACTCGCCTCTGCCTCTTCGTCTTATCTACCTACGCTCCCACTGACTGCAGTTCAAACGAGGGGAAAGGTGAGTTTTACAGAAAGAGACAGTCTGTTGCAACCGCCTATTTCTAGCAAACACTAAATTTAAGCATAAGGTAAAACACCTTTCGACCTGGCAACTCCCAAAGCCAACCCAACAATCGAGCCAACTAGATCACATTGCTATAAGCCATAGGTGGAGAGGCTCTGTGAAAGACTGCCACTAATTCTGGAGCACTTGTTTAGACTCAGATATCCAATGGCTTGTCTAACAATGATTGGTTCTTGATTTCAATGATGATATTAATGTCTAACTTCAATCAATTTATGGTCTTGTGTGATACTTTCGTCCATTGCCTGTGGTGTATAACTAACTGTCTCACATTCGTTATTGATTGAAAATCAACAGTCACAACTTCTCACTGGAACTTCTGGAATACATTATGAAGCTAGTCATTAGTGAGCAAATGATTATCAAATAATGAAGAGGATTTTTGATGTGAAGGTAATATAATGATTTTCATAGTTGAAATCCTGTCCAATGCTTCTTGATGGTCTAACTTAGATCAATTTTTGATTTCATCTGTTGAAAAAAACACAGTCTCGGCAAATTCGATTCATTAGTAATCATGCATAGTGGATAGCACAGTGGATAGAATAATAGACATTTTTATTAAAATCATAAACCTACGCATGATTTCAATGAAATTCAACAATTATTCCACAACTCTTACAGTCACAAGACTTATTTAGCTTAGTAATATGCTAATAAATTGTACATTAGTTAGTTAGAAGGCCCAAGACAGATTAGGTCAGCGGTCGATGCTCCACTAGGGGGTAACAGGCGAAAGTAAGTAAGCAGTTAGAAACACTCATCGTGTCTTTTGATAGTTCGAGCCTAAAGCCAAAGTTTTTTCCCAGCCTACGGACAAATTAGTTAATCTTGATGGTACTTTCCCTGGCCTCGCCAGCGTAGGTATTGTATTAAGTCGCCTATGCGCTGTCCGACTAAACAGGACAGTTAAGACTCGGCGAAATAGGGAAACTCGCCTCTGCCTCTTCGTCTTATCTACCTACGCTCCCACTGACTGCAGTTCAAACGAGGGGAAAGATGAGTTTTACAGAAAGAGACAGTCTGTTGCAACCGCCTATTTCTAGCAAACACTAAATTTAAGCATAAGGTAAAACACCTTTCGACCTGGCAACTCCCAAAGCCAACCCAACAATCGAGCCAACTAGATCACATTGCTATAAGCCATGGGTAGAGAGGCTCTGTGAAAGACTGCCACTAATTCTGGAGCACTTGTTTAGACTCAGACCATGCTCTAGTGCGAGTGCGTATTTGTTTTTCTTCTCACTGGACATAGGAAAAATATCGTGAGGAAA